AACAGAAAGACAGTGCCCTGATGGAATATCTCAAGATGGAAGAAAGAACAAATAAATTAAAAACGAAAAACGCAAAACAACCTCGTAATTGCAAACCGGAAACTAACTTTATATTTAATAAACCTTACAAAACAGGAGGAGGTGCCGTTGGAGCTTTACTATATAGATACGGGTTGAAGCATAATTTAATAGCTGCATTTCCTGCAGATCCCACCTCATCAGTGATAGAATCTATTAATGGCTCGGAAGTACTTGTATTTAAATATCCGTGCGTAAACAGGTTTCCGGTTTATAATTACATATCAAACCATATACGTGATTATAACTATACATTGTTTAAACAGTTCATACCAAAAGCAAAATTTATAACTATGGCCCGATTACCATTTCGCCAAATGGAGTCATTGTTTTATTGGAATTATCTTCACATTAGTCTCGGTTTGCAGAATTTCAGCAATCCATTTGAGACATTCTTGACAAACATAAATTATCGCAAAAATGTTGATCGTTTTGTAAAATCTTTTCTGAATCAATTAGGACATAATGAGATAAAAGATCTGGAAAAAAGGTTGTTGGCATACGATAAAGAATACGATTTAGTCATGATTACAGAATACATGGAAGAGTCTCTTCTTCTTTTGAAACAGATGATGTGCTGGACATTCGATGATATTGTATATTATTCACAAAAGATATCCGGAAGGAAACCTCAGCACATCACCAGCAAAATGGAGGAAGTACTCGCATATAAATTGAGTAATGATATTAGATTTTATGATTATTTTAATAAGACACTCTGGCATAAAATTCACAACTACAACGGCAATTTCGAAAATGATTTAAACATTTTTCGTTCTAAACAAATGCGGATCACAGAAAGATGTTCTGTAAAACAATATAATGATGAACCATGTGACCTTCTCAGAATGGATGTCACCAATTATGGGCGACTTATCCGCGAGGCTCAATTCAATACATTCTGTTGAAACAATGCAAATGAATTTTAAAAAATGATTATGTGATTGATATTGATTCTTGACGAAACATAATACAGGACACCCTACTGTTTATGCATAGGTTGCTTTATTAAAATCACAGATTTTACTTTACCTATTGTAAATATTTCGTTGTTAATGCGGTTATCATTTTTTAAATCAAAGAACGGGAAGCGAAACAATTTCGCTATATTGCTTGGACAATATGATGCTTCAATGTCGAAATTCAATTTATACAATATAATATGACCTTGATTAATAAGCTGGAATTGTAATATGTCGTTTCAATCTGGAAATAGGGTAACCACAAAAAGGTGTTTAAAAAATCAAAATGTCATTGAAGTTTGATTATAACATAAGATGCTCCATAATAGGACACTGAGGTTATCCGTCTGTTTAAGTATTACATGCTTTTATTAGTATTTCAAACTTTACCATTGTAATTGTTTTACTGCTATTCGAATTGTTTATAATTGTGATTATAACTGTTAATATCATTGTCACCCTATTGTATAGTAATAAATATAGTAATGTTGAAACTCATGCAGGGCACATATTATAAATATATCGAATGTTAAGTATGTTGCATGTAACACAAATATAAAATACAAGCCACTGAATAAAACGTCATAAACATAACCATAATAGATGACCAAACAATTCATACACACGTTTTTGGATTAGGAATGCTCGATGGCAGTAAAGCAGACGACTTTCACAGAGCATTACCCACAACTTTCTCTGTCAGCCATCATTCTTGAGTCACAGACCTCTGACCTTCGCTTACCCAAACCTGCCACTAGAGGCGCTATTTGCTTAAATTAACAATTACATACATATACATGTTGTATAATAAAGTACACTAACTATTTTTGTGGCGACTAAACATAGTCTCAATAACAAACACGAATAACAATGAATAAGTCTATATTTTGGCCATAACACGGTGATCTCTGATAACTGGAAAAAAAAACACAGAAATAGAGAAATTTGTTATTATGTTTACTCTATTTTAACTGCACTAGTAGTACTATTATGGCTCCTTTAAATGTAACAGCTTAAGTGGAAATACTAGGAAGAGCAGTTGAAGCATGTTACATCAGTGAACAAGGTAACAAACAGGTTTGCAAATATTTCAATGAACAAGCGTATCTAGTTCCAACCAAAACATTGTGTTTTCTTCTTAGCAGATTAGAACCTGGTCACTGTTTCATTTTTGATGGCATGTGACCCTAATAAAGTTTTAGAACATTTAAGGTATTAGGTCGTATGACAATTTTTGAGAACAAAGAGATTAGACTTGAGAAAAAGAGACAGATTTGGAAACAGGGCATTTAGTGTGTGTAATGTCCTCCAATAATGCGTATTGATCGGCCGAGGAGCACTTGTTTGTGTCTTGTTCATACAAAATTTAGGAAATTTGGGAGTGGGTGGTGGTCTCATGTAAGTCTCAATTTTGAGGAATTCGTTAATGATGCTTGACATCTGGATTACATGATATAAATGTACATGATTTGCATCACAATCCCACAAAACAGACTTTCCATCTTGCAGCATTTATTCCTATATATAAAAAGAAAATATGAGTAAATAATTAAGTTCCCCCTCAGATTTAAATTTAAATGTAACTTTAAAAAGCCAGACTTATGCTACATACATTCCTAAGGCTGCCTTCCCGACTAATCGGGCTTATCAACCAAGGGGAGCTTCCAAAAATTAGACAACAGCAAACAGAAACAGAGCATAGAACATGTTTAGCAAGCTCCCTGTTGTCGTGCAAGGCTGTAGTAGTTCAGATCAATGCCAGAAGAGACCATGTCTAAACTCATTAGAGTAATATGCCAACACATTGTTTTCAACAAACATCCAGTGTATTGCTATTTATTGTCACCAAAGATTTAGCTACTAATGTTTTGATCTTCTCTTCTCAATGCAAATTATTTTGTGCTAAACGACACTGACAATTTCGTCAAATTACTCTCACTAACGAAAACTGTTACATAGGTTAAACTAGCTCACCTTTTCACTGTGTTCCACTTTTTGACAGACCTGATTAATTTTGGGTTGAAATCCGTGCATATTATATAGCCAGTTTAATGCATTTTCACTTGCTTCTCATGCAAAGTTCAACAAACTCAGATGCTGTGGGATAATTTGCAAACCTCATTTGTTTTTGCTTGAACTCTATGTATACTAGTATTATTTACCTACCTTATGTAAATGGTTTTATTTGACCTCAATAATATGCATACTTATAATATCCAGCACTGGACGTGCAACTAGTGCTATTATATGGGTGCGTTTGACAAAACATACAACATGGCTATATGTAGTCATGCAACCTCATTAAATAATATATATATACTTGTAATATTGTTGTAAGTATCGTTGCAGATAAAGATTGCAACAATCATGGCATGTATGTTGTCAAAATAATACATACTTTAATGATTTTGCATGCAATAAATACAATTTTACCTTATGATGTACTTCTAATATAGTAAATACAGTATTTGTACTTCATGCCTTCAGTACCTCAAGCACAAGGGAGGATTTATCTAAGCTATCTTTGATTTCCTACATTATTTTGTACAGAAAAAAATAAGAACGAAAAGAAAGCGATACACATAAGAGTCTTAAGGATTTCTTAAACTATGAACTCATGATGCATTTTACTGGCCTTAACAAATGGTGGCTTAAAAACAGAAAATAAAACATTGCTGATGGATTCGATATTTGTATACCCTCTTACACTCGATAATGTTCCATTGACTGAAATTCCGAACATGTACTGAAATAATGTCACGTGATTACAGCAATACAAATGTGTCTCATAGAAGCAACCATTAACGTGCCGGTCTTTTTTGTACAGCAGTGCAAATATATTACAGTACTGTGTAGGAACACATTCGAAAAAGTGTAATAACTCTGGTTCATGGACCCAGGCTGTAAAGCCTTCAATAAATTGAATGTGAGAGAGATTTGACATTTGTTCACTTTATTTCCAGAATCACAAGTATACTTTCCCACATCTTTACTTTGTACCGAATGGGGATTACTTTCGTTTCCAATGTCAGCAACGAAAAAATCTTCATCCTGAAATGCTGGTTTCACACGGTTACTTTTAATCAGGCGTTCAGCTTTTGCTAACATGGAAGAAACTTTCTCTTTACTAATGCCATTTATTTCTAAACTTGACAATGGCTCTCGGCTACTAAGTTCAGACCTCATATTATACTCTTCATCTTTATTTGGCAAGTCTCTATCTTCTAGAGTCTCACTGACCCATGCTTGACCATAGATTTGTTCTCATGACATTGTTTATGATAAAGAGACCACTGAAAATATTGTTCACCAACAGTAAATTCTGACAAACATCCAAGACATTTAAAGTCTCCTTCACCAACAAATGCTGCTATCACCAATTCTTCTTGTTCATCATAAATGGATTGCAGTAATGTTATGAATTCTGGTACCTGATTAGCCTCATACTTTCACCTTGCGTTTGATCATGGCATTTAAACTCTCTGACTGGCTAGTTGTAAAGGACTTCTTTCAACCATTGCGATTCCTAACATCTTTTATCATGTTCCCTTCGAACCATGTATGAAATTGTGATACTAACACACTATGTTGCATATACGGAGACTCAAGTTCATTCCACTTCACTTGTAAACTGTCTGTGAGAGCATGAAGTTGATCTGCATCTTTGGCATAAACTAAGCCTTCCTGGTAATGTTCTCCCGTCTGAACTCCAAATATATCTGAAAAAATTATAGATTTTTCCCTTCTAGGAATATTTAACTTCAGCAGTTTACTTTCTATGTTTTTCTACTATGCAGAAAGCATCTGAGATGATCACTATATGAAAATACTGCACTAAATGCACTAGATAATGCCTCTTCATCATCCGTTTCAAAATATGTCAGGGCAGCCATGTCTTTATTTTGCGAAAATATGCCACATATTAAATAATGATATGCTGCGAAATCCTTCTAATAGTGCATAAAAGGTGGACCAATAAAAATTGATGAGTGTTTGTTCTGATACCCGGGTTTGTATAACATGTCGCTATCAAATAAAACGTTCCAAGATTAAAAGTTGGGTCTATAGTTAGAACTGCATTGTCTGGTCTTGGAGCACAACCAAACCTTTCCATATAAATAAATGATGTTGCATTTCCAAACAAACACATTGGTCTTGATGTAGCCTCTAGTACGGTTTGTTCATAAAGAGTTTGCGAGTTTCCATTACATTTGCTAATATATCCTTCTCATTCTTTTGTTCACTACCCTGTTCACTTCTGTACCTAAAATTATCCACTTGTTTATAATTCCTTGGCAATGTTCCAGATGATTTTGCTGCAAGAAAACCTCTCTTTTCATTAGAAAATGTTGACATCGCTTCTCTTGGTGTCTCTGTCTCACACTTCTTTTTAAGCTGACTACGAACACTTGGCGCAGTTTTTCTATAAGGTTGAAATTGTTTTTGCATATTCTGCAACTGGTAACTCATGTTCATTCTTGTCAAAATAATAGTGCAAGTGGCAATACTCATAATAGTATGAGGACAGCCCTCCCTGGCCGGTGAAAGATTTGAAACAATGAACTACCCTGTGAAAATCTGAAGATGATTTTAAAAAGGAACTTAGGGTAAATAAAACAAATATATTACAGTCCAGAAAATCATAATCTTCTTTCTTCACAGTGGATAGCATTGTTAGTGTTTCATGGACAGGAATATGGTCTCTGAGATATACATATCTAGGACGAGTTCCACTTGACCTGTAACTGCCATTGTCATCAGCCAGTATGTCTTCTCCAACTACAGCTAAATTAAGAACGAAACTAGCATTTCTATCAACCCTTGTTGGTGTGTTGTCACATATTATGTTTGGTTCCTCTATGGCTTGAGTTAGAAGGATGTCTGCAACTTTTTTTTGGTGTGTATCTTTTTTTCTTCTTCCTGACATCAGTATTGACTGACCATTA